GTCCGAAAACATGAAAAAATGTGGGCCCTGAATCCTACCTGCGCATGGGACCGTGGAGACTTTCGAAAAACATTACTGCATCAACAGCAAGATCACAATTGGAAATGGAGGCCACAGCATCCAAGTACATGTAAGTGAGACAGGCAAACATTTTCACGGTGTCAAAACCTGTCAAATATCGAGGATCAATTCTCAGGGCTTGGGCGTCGACCTTCACCTTGATTCAGTCCCAGAAACCAATCCAATTTGCTTGAATGCGTTTGTATGCAAGTCGTGTAATGTCCAAGACTCGTGTAGACCAAAGTTTCGTGGAGTTTTTTGGTTTCAAGCAAAAGCTGGTCCTGGGAAAAGGTAGCCATGATCTTGCTCCAATTCTCCTGAATTTGCCTTTCAGAAACAAAACTGAGTCAAAACAAACACTCAAATTTATATAACAATAGTCTGGGTATGCCTGTCTTGGCCCGCCTGTACACAAAGTAGACACCAACCATCAGCAGCAAAAGCCTTGCATTGCAGCTGACATTCCGTTAGGCTAGTCGTCTTCCGGCACCTCCTTGACGGTTCTGTGCAATCAACGCAAGACTCAAAAATATGCGGCTAAAAGTCGTCCAAATATCAAAGTACTGGAGCAGGTGGATGACTGCCTGAATCTGAATTGAGAACAGATGAATGATGGGATGGAACGGTATCGGAAGACATGTCACCTTCGTTCGCTGGGGTGATTGGCTGTACATGCTGTACCAAGAACCCGGCGTAGAGTCCTCCAAAGGAACCAGCAACTTGTTTCATAGACCTTGAGGGCTTCACATTTCGCTCTTTTCTTTGAAAACCTGCGTGAACCTCTCCTTCCTACTGTGACAAAGCCACCTGGCTCGCAGAACTGAGACTCGCACAGCTCTTCACCCCGCTTCTGTCGCAGGGTCCGATGGTATTCCTTAAAGCATGCTGCCCAACTGTACATCTCAATTTCTGCACAGAAGGACAATACGTGTTCTTCCGTTTTGCTTGTTTGCTTTGCGCCCATGTGATTCTCTCACATTCTCACTGTCACTGGGAGTGCCTACCCTGAGCCGGTCGGTCATTGACATGCCTGAGCTGCTTCCCTGACATCAAGGCATTGATTCAAGACATGTTCCTGCTGTGTTCAACTCTGATACTGCAAGGAGTTCTATTCTGTTCGGATGCAACGATATTCTTCTCCTCTCTCCGATCTTTGGCACAAAGATGTTTAGCACTGATTTAAATTCTTTGCAGCGGGAATGGAGACCAGAAGCCAACGAAAAAAAAACAATGGAACACATAGATATGAGGATGTATGGGGCCGGAGGGAGGGATGAAGCAAGGCGGTAGGAATGACGGTCATCTACTCACTGCTCCGGTGCACAATCACCCAGATGTTTTGGCGGCCTCGAAAGGCAGGAAATATCTACCCAACTACCCGACTTGAGCCGCAGGTTCTCCCGAGAAATCTGAGATTCAAACCTAACTAAGGGAACCTTATGTTTGACTCCCAAAAGGAAAATAGAATTGCCCCACATGACCAGCCAAGCAACCCCTTGTAGAACCTGTGGAGTCCAGAAACCTGCATGCAGCAAGAGCCCCGGTAGAAACATGTACTGTAGCTGCGGTTCCGGACAATTGCCGACAATTTGCCGGCACATCCAATCATCCAACAATGGCTAATTTTCATCAATTTTCACGATTTAAATGACCGACTGACCAACTCAATCCCACATGCTGATCAAGGTGACCTCCCTGAACTCAGAACTGGAATGGCCCGGGAAGCACCGCAGTACCGTTGCACCCCCACACTGCAGCTCTACAGGACCCCACAGCACTGTCTCACCATCTCAGCCCAGCCGCCCAGCCCTTTACAGCCCACATTTGGAACCCCACAGCAATCTAGACGAAAAATCATGGGCGAAAGCTGCAAGAGATGTGTGCATAGCTACGCAGGAAGCATTCAAATATGTGCTTGGAATATCTTGGATTTTTTTTAAATCAGACTTGCATAGATTCGCATAGATAAACATGAATTCAATCCCTCATTGCGTCCCATTTTCATCTGCTTCGGAGGGTCTGAGGTGTGTGTGCCACATGTTTGGCTTGTCATGGATCTCTGGCAGAAACTCTCTCCGAATCACAAGACCATGGCAATGACATATCATGACATATCTCTTGGTCACTCCGACAGAAATTTCCAGGATCATCTTGGAGCAAAACGAGAGATTTTGGTTTCCACTTTAAATGCGACCAGAGAATTCAGCGAAGAGCAGCTAGCGCGAGCTCGCATTTGCTGTATCACTGTATCCTCTCACCTACAAAGGACATAAGCAATGTCCTCAGTGTGAATCCAAGGCAAGGCGCAAAACAGCCAAAATCCAAAGTTTTCTCAAGCAAAGGCAAACGGCGTGAGGACAGACATGGACATAGCCATTGCAAAATACTCCTCCCCAAGGCATTGATTCCAAGGCCACAACCTCCTCGTGCTATTTACCACCACCGCCACCAGAACCAGCGGAAGCAGCCTTGGAGCATGTCACCCGGACAAACAGCGGATAAATGAAGATGACTTGAGTTTTGGTTTTTCTTTTGGATTAATTAATTTGACATTATTCACCCCTTCCTGGAGGGTTTCCGCCATGCTCCCGCGACTGCAGTGCCAGTTTCCTTGGAGGGATGTTTCTTAAAACCGTTTCCGCGGCTTTCTATTCTATGAATTTGCTTCTGCGGCCACGATTTTTTCCGTTTTTGCTTGATACTTGAACGTTAAACGGGTTAAGGATCAAAAAAAATATTATTGGTATAAAAAAAATATCCAAAAGGATCAAAAAAATATTATTGCTATCAAAAAAATACCCCCAGAAACCTATACCCTCATCAACCATTGAGCGCACCACACCACTTTGTCCACAATTGCGCGCCAATTGCTCTCATCGCTAACTCAGATGCTGATACAAATGCGTCGGTCGCCGGACTGTTATGCACATATGTCGGTCTTTCGGCATTGAAATGTGGATGTATGCATGCACGCGCGCGTGCATGTATATCTGTATGCATGTCTGCATGTACGTATGTTTTAAAGCAGCATTCTTCTACTGGACGTTCTTACTTTTGCCTGAAGGCCTGAAGTCTAGGACGCCAACATAAGGTAGCAACTCAAGATGTAGCAGTACGCTTTAAACATGCGCACAGGTGCGCATGTTGCGGCTTGTCCAGTGCAAAGCAGATCTACTCATGAGGGAGGGAAGGAATGGCAGTGCCATACCTATGTGTGAAGGCACAAACATCAAGACGCCAGCAGAAGGATTGCAGACTCAGGATGTAGCAGTCCGTGTTAAGCCTGTGCACAGTTGCGCATACAGCTCAGCACAAGATGTACCAGTATGCTCTAAGCTTGGGCGCAGTTCTGCGCAAAGCAGATCTACTCACCAAATCAGGCAAAGATAACATCTTTGGTGCAAACACGGTTTTCTCAAGGTTTCGGATAAACCTAGCAATTCGCAACTGCAACAAGGACACAGGGGTTTGTGAAGACCTACTATTTCGCATGGCCCTTGCAACGTGGTGAAGCTGCGACTTTCTAATTTGCTTCCTTCCCTTCTTCCCTCCTTCCCTCCCTCCCTCCCTCCCTCCCTTCCTCCCTCCTTCCTTCCTTCCTTCCTTCCTTCCTTCCTTCCTTCCTTCCCTCTCCCAGGATAGCTTTTTTTGATCCCGATTTTTCTGGGGGTCCTAAAAATAATTCTATGTTGATCCTAATATTTTTTGGGATGCGTATCCCTGAAACCCTGATGTATAAAGCTCTTCTGCCGCACACTTCCGCGAAATGATCCCTTCCGCAAAGCTTCTGCGGCCTTCCCCCGCTGCATGTTTTGGATCATAATGTCCGTGGCAGTACTTGTGACAGTGTAAATGACCGGAATGTTTATAGAAACATGGAACTCACTTCAGAATACCTTAAGAGTCAGAGTGGCCTTCTTCTCTTCTGCAAGCCGCTGCTTCTCGCGCATGATTGCCTTGGAAAGATCCCTTGGGGTCACTAATCCTGGTTGAAAATATGCTCCTTTGAGTCTCAAAAAATCCATGGTGCATACAGAACTGTGCGTAGAGTCCATGAGCAGCCAGGAAGCATGCTAACTGATCTAAGTGTGACAAAAAAGCCAGGCCAGTTACACAACCCGCGCAGATCTTGAGAGCTGTACCGCAGTGTCTTCTTTAGTCTTGATGGTGGAGTTCTGCTTCGCGCCTTGCCACAAATCCAGAGGAATTCTGGAACCAATTTTATCTGCTGTAGACTGTCGGCAGACTTCCGATTTTTTCATGGCACCCTCACAAAGTCGACCACAATTGGCCACCCATCTAATGTAGCGGCTCCATCACGATGCATAAAAAATATTTATATATACAGTTGTTTATTGCTTATTTGACTCATTCAAGAGTCCTTTTTTTGCAGTCTTATCACGAAAAAATCATCAAGACTGGCTGCAAGAGAGGCATGGCGGAGAGCAAAGACCGAGGAAGCGAGACGAGGTGGAATGAGCCAGGTCGAGTTACAAAATTTTGTGGCATGACATGGGTGGAGTGACTTGGGTGGAATGAGTTGGGCGGAGTGGGTTGGGTGGCGCGGGTTCAATAGAGACTCATCATTGGGTGTAATGGGTTGGATGGAATGACGTCAGTGGAGTGAGTTGGGCATCAAACTTGTATATCGAGTTATATAGGGGGTGGAAAGGGGAAGGGATGGAAAGGGGGCTGGGGTAAAGAGTAATGCGTTTGGCAATTGGTCCGTCTCATCTCTTGCTAAAGCAAGAAGAAACTCCAGCTAGCATCCGCTGGCTGTCATCAAGAGCAAAGGACCAACAACACTCAAAGACAAAGTCCCCCAAACAACAGACAGTTGGAGCACGAGGTGTGACCACTGTGCTTAGAGTCACAAGCATGGACGGCATCTTTGGGAGCTGATACCATACAGGGCTTCAACTGTGACTCAGTTTCGATCATACTGAACCATACTGAACCATACTGAATTTGGTCCTTCTGAAAACTTCTATCTTGACAAATGAACGCAAGTCATCGCAGACTCTGATGACTGATGTGACAAAGTTCAGGTTGCGGCCAGCATTGCGGTTAGCCGCTCTTTCACGATCTCTATCCCGCTGGTTTCCACGTGTCATCACCTGGCATGGCTTGCAGTGCTGTTTCCAGACATGCATGGTTTGACTGCTTCTAATCTTCCGAATCTTCCCTCCATACATATATATTCACTGACCTAAAAGTAGATGGCTCAACTCAAAAACCAAAACACCCATAAGATGGCACCGCGGGGTGAGAAAGAAAACGGTGCTATTTTAGTTGGAACACAAAACGAGTTCCGCCAGTTGAAGAAAAAAAACGCCCTACTTTAAAATGAAAAGGTAGATGGCGCAACTGCCACTCCAGTAGATGAACATAACATAAGGGTATATATTGTTAACTAATTTTACTACATGTCCGATTATTTTTGTTTGTTTATACTGTAGATTGCACATGTTTGTATTGTAAATATATTATATACATTATGTATAATTCCCCTATATGTTTTATCCTAAAAATGAGTTGCGCCATCTATGTCCCTTAAATCCCATTCAAACGCCAGAAATTTATTTTTCGATGGGTTCAAAAATGAGTTGCGCCATCTATGTCCCTTAAATCGCATTCAAATCTTCAAAAAATTAATTGCAATACCTTGAACATGAGTTGCGCCATCTATGTCCCTTAAATCTCATTCAAACGCCAGAAAAAAATCGGTGGGTTAAAAAATGAGTTGCGCCATCTATGTCCCTTAAATCGCATTCAAATCTTTTAAAATTTATTGTGGGCAGAATTTATTGATAGAAATCTCATTTTTCAACATATTTTGACCAAAATATTTTTTAAAAAATGCAGTAAAATTTCATTGCAATACCTTGAAAATGATCCACTGAATGTTTTAACATTGGTTGTGGACAGAATTTTGGATAGAAATAATTTTGAAAAAATTGTCAATTTTTTTCAGCACATATGCACAATTTTAATACTTCAATATGTTACAAAAGCAGCTCTTCTGGTTTACAAACTATAAAAGTGACATTTTTCATTTTGCTCTTTCTTTTTGTTCCCCCCTTTCTCCCCTTTGCATGTGTCTCCCCGTTGTGTCTCCCCGGGGCGGTGATCCCAATGCAACGAGTCGGGGTGAGCGTTTTGCGCCGACGCGCGCGCGCGTTGGTGGAAAACGAAAGCGAGCAGCGTTTTCACCGGGGCCGTTTATGAACCCATCAGAGCTATCCCAAGACATCAGAGTTGTCCCAAAACAGGAGGCAAAACATCCCGTCTTGGGATAGCTCTGATGTCTTTCCTGGTGGTTTTGCCTCCAATTTTTTTTCTCAACATCAAGCTGCCTTTTTGGGACATAGATGGCGCAACTCCCACTCATTCGCCAAAATCACGCTGGGAATGCCCACATAGATGGCGCAACTCCCTCATATCTCCCGACATCCATCAGCCAAACTAACCAAAATATGCCACATCGATCAGAGTTATCCCAAGACAGAAGGCAAAACCACCAGGAAAGACATCAGAGTTGTCCCAAGACAGGAGGCAAAACCACCAGGAAAGACATCAGAGTTGTCCTTTTTGGGACATAGATGGCGCAACTGCCTCCTGTCTTGGGATAACTCTGATCGATGTGGCATATTTTGTAATTTTATGTGTATATATATATATATATTTATTACCAAACAAAAAACAAAAACAAAAAAACAAAGATCATATTTGCAGTGTTTTGATAACAATTTGGCATATATATATATATTTATTTATTTATATTTATATTTATAATTATTATATATATTTATATTTATAATTATTTATATATTTATATTTATATTTATATACTTATATATATATATAAGTATAATTATAAATATATATATATATTGGGAGGTAAATTTTGAGGTTAAAATGGGTATATTGAGTATATGTCAAATGGATACGTGGCATATATATATATACATAAATTTATATATGTGCTTAGGGAAAATTTTGTTCAAGGGCGTTTGCAAACGTTTGCAAACGGTTCCTCAGTCCAGGACCGAAGATTGAAGATTGAAGGCTTGGGAAAAACTTCTTCAATCCAGAGTCCTGGATTGAAGATTCCTGGGTTCAAGAAGTTTTCCTCAGGCCTTCAAGCTTCAATCTTCAATCCTGGATTGAAGAATTTTTTCTCAGGTCCTCAATCTGCAATATTTGATCAGAAACAAAACCAGCTGATACCAATGTTCCGGTAAGGGCATCCTCTGCATGAAAAGAGTCTCAACTTTCGGTCTTTTCCCCAAACCTGAAAAAAGCAGTGAAAACGCTGTAAATTACTTTACCACAAAAGACGATCAAACATGTTTTTTCATTTCAAGAAGCAATTCCAGTAGACAAGTGCAGGCTTTACAAACAAACACTTTCATTCAGAAAGTATAGCATTCCCTGAGCAACAAGAGTATTCCTTTTCAATAGGTAGCATTCCTTTGTAGAAAGTCACTTTTCTTGAAAATATCGCTCTTCATTTCGATCAGGTAGTGTTTTTCCCAATATGTAAATATGCATTGCTTAGTTTAAAACACTTGAGAGGGGGAACACGAAAGGTAGGTGAGCAAGAAAGGAACCGAGGAAAAAACGAAGGGGAGAGGGCAAGGGAAAAAACATGAAGTGGAGTCTGATAAAAGCGACGCGGCCATTTTCTCCCTAAAAACATGAAGTGGGGTCTGGTAAAAGCGACAGAAAGGCTTCGGCGGTGTGGTTGGGGTTGGTGGTGGTTGTGGTGTTGGTGGTATTGGTGTTGTTGGTGTTGGTGTTGTTGATGTTGTTGGTGTTGTTGTTGTTGTCGTTGTCGTTGGCGTTGTCGTTGTCGTTGTCGTTGTTGTCGTTGTTGTTGTCGTCGTTGTTGTTGTGGTTGTTGGTGTTGGTGTTGGTGTTGTTCTTGTGGTTGTCATTGTGGTTGTGATTGTTGTTGTTGTTGTTGCTGTTGTTGTTGTTGTTGCTGTTGCTGTTGCTGTTGCTGTTGCTGTTCTTGTTGTTGTTGTTGTTGTTGTTATTGTTGTTGTTGTTGTTGTTGTGGTTGTGGTTGTTGTTGTTGTTGTTCTTGTTCTTGTTCTTGTTCTTGTGATTGTGATTGTTCTTGTTGGTGTTGTTCTTGTGGTTGTGATTGTGGTTGTGATTGTGGTTGTTGTGGTTGTTGTGGTTGTTGTGGTTGTTGTGGTTGTTGTGGTTGTTGTGGTTGTTGTGGTTGTTGTGGTTGCTGTGGTTGCTGTGGTTGCTGTGGTTGTTGTGGTTGTTGTGGTGTGTTGTGGTGTGTTGTGGTGTGTTGTGGTGTGTTGTGGTGTGTTGTGGTGTGTTGTGGTGTATTGTGGTGTGTTGTGGTGTGTGGT